CTAGTTAGGGAGGAAAGCTGACAAGTCCCTCATCTCCCATGTGGTCCTTCTTAAAATAGGCATCTTGAGGTTTTCTAAAACCCAAAGACCAAGGAAGACTCCCTAAGAGTCCCCATGTACCAAAAAGAGGGCATTCCAGCAGGGCCAAAGGATGGGACTCAGAGGAAGAAGCAAAACCCTTGTCTTGAGAGATGTGAAGAATGGATGAAGAGGAAAAATCATTCTGAGACCTAGTTCAGACCTTTTACCTGCTAGACAGGTCAGCTTTGCCAAGAGGATGACCTGATTCCTTGGCTGCTGGCATACATGGTGCCCATTTTTTCTAACTGGACAAAGCAGTAGCACAGGCTGGGGAGCAGTCATTTTTGTTTGATTCAACCATGATATGCACAACAGCCAAGGGCTCCTCGCAGGCCCCAGCAGTGAGGCCAGCCGGGAGTGCAGTTTTGTTATTGTAGCCGGAGGCCCACTTCCAATCCAATTACACACAACAGCTGTGCTAGCTCCTCTTTTCCATCCCCTTTGCTTCCTCTGCTATGTAATTCCAGGATAGGTTTTGTCATTATCGGGGGCAGTGAGTCAGGGTGAGTGGCACCTACCCTGAGTGATCAAAGGAATAAAAGCATGAGGTAGAAGCCGAAGAGAAAGTCGTTTACCCCAATATCTATGAGCAGAAATAGTGATCAAACCATACTATCTCCTTTCCCCCATGACAAAAACAGTATTCTGACATTGCACATGGCATACTCCTAGAAGTATTCACATAGCGAGGGCTACAAACATGGTGGTGTTTGAAAACATGAAAATAAACGTGCAAGTGTTCACAAAGATGGCCACACGCACAACAGAACATGTGCAGGTAGCAAGACCTGAGGGTGAATGCATTTATGGCTGACCCATAAGAAGATGTGTATCACTGCAAATCAGAGCACCTGATCAAGTAGGTGCACAAGTTGGGAAGAGGAGAACTGTTAGGCATGGAATGGAACGCTTCAGCTTGGAAAAGACATCTCTGACAATATATATGATAGAGGTAAAATCCCAAATAATACAAAGCAGGTGAACAGGGAATATTTTTTTTTCCCTATTTGTCAGAACACAAGGAGTAGGAGTCATGGAATGAAATTCTAAAGTAACAGGTGTAAAAACAAGTGAAAGAAAGTACTTTCCGCATTTGAATGATTAAACAATGGGACTTGTTATCACAGGATACTGTGGAGTTAAAAAATATAAGTGGATTAAGAAAAACAAAGACTGGACACGTCCAGAGAAAATATGTCCATCAATGACTGTACAACACCACGATTTGGATGCAGTGTCAGGTCAGAAAATCCTCAAAACAGTGACTACCAGAAACGACAAAGGTATATCAAGACAAGACCAATGCTAATGTTGTTTCTTAAACTTCTTCCAAAGCATCTACTTTCATAAAAAGATGCTTCTGGGCTAGATGAATTCTTGCTCTGACCCCAGTGATCACTACTGCCATATTGTTGTTAATGGGTGTGCATGGAGCTGAAAAACATTTGCATTTCAGTGCAAGAGAATCCGATCTGGGGACAGTGTCTGCGCAAAGGGCATGCAAGAATGAAAACAACGGTGGTACCTATGAAGAACATAAGCCTGTACAAACTGGTTTCAAACACCTGTGTGAGTGGCACTGAAGATATGGCATGGGTGGATTCTTACTCTGACCTAGTAACTTCTGCAAATAGGAAAGTTCAGATGGGCTGAAACACAATTCACACATTTTCATGCCCAAGAAGCAGAGTTCAGCTTCAAGGAAGCAGAAGCCAGCATACAGGTACTGCTTAAATGACCCTATGACATGGAGTTAGGGAGACAGACTAAAACAGCAGCCCTGAGATGAAGAAGGGAAAGGAGCATTAAAAGATGGAGTTTGAAAGATTAAAGATCTGGATCAAAAAAGTGCTAGTATGCTTGTGCCTTCAAGCATCTCTGTATCCTTATGAAGGAGTCGTTCAGGCAAAAAAGGACTAATTTTTCCTCAGGGCCCCAACTAACTAGGTCATTTCTATTGGGTTGTGTCCATTCAGTTACACGCAAACTCTAGCCAGCAGTAAAATCATGACAGCAAAATGCCCAGAACTTCATCTCTTAGCCTCCTCCCCATGAATATCTGAAGATCTCTCCCAATAAGCGTGGCATGAATAAGAAAAGCACTGTTTAAACTTTGACACCCCCAGGTATCAGTACCAGTACCAGTCACCATAGTATCAAGGACCCATATTTAGTTCTTTCTCCTGCATATATTCTTCCACTAAAAAAACCTAAGCGAGACAGAAGCAAATCACTTGCTCATTGATCTACTGGTCTTTTCCCAACAAGAGAAGTTATTTCTCCTCTACACGACACAGCGAGTCAGTGACCCAGCTGTGTACAGACAGCAACAGTCCCAACTCCAGGGCCCTGCTCTAAATACTTGACTTTGCTGCTTACAATGTGGTGTTGCTATTTTGTGACCAGGGACATAATATTTGCAGGGCAGCTGGGCTAACATCTGACAAACTCCTTTCATTTGTGAAATAAGCCAGATGGGATCTTCAGTTGGCTCTTGAAAGGAGTGTAGCACACCAGTCCCTGTTGCCGGAGTACCCTTTCGTCACAAGCAGAGACCTTGCAGCCAGGGAAGGCTCATACTACACATTTCTGTTTACTTTGAACAAGACTAACTTCTTTGCACCTTGCAGAAACTGTGCCCAGCAGAGCCCTGTGGTCCCCACTGCTGCCAGCCCCAGCCTATTCACAGCTACCTTCTCTTACTGGGGAATTAGTTCTAACCAGTGTATTCAACAATAAAAAATATTCAGTTAATCAATGGGCTCTTTACAGCCCTTCTGCTGCCTGTGGGTAAATAGTTACCACTAGCTCATAAAATCCCTAATTTGTCTCGCAGTGGATGGTTAAAGTAACCATTCTGACAGGGGCCTGGAGTTCTGTCCTCACGATACAGATAGCTGGATGGCCAAATAGGAAGAAAGCCTCTGCACAGCCAGGCAGAGTGGAAGTGCACACCCATCCCTCCCAGTGGTCCTCGTCACTGCCGTGTCACGCATAATGCCAGTGTCCTCCCCAGGGGGAGCTGAGCAGAGGGATTATACTGCCTAGGAGTAAACAGTTACAGAGCCCGATAATGGGGTGTGGGTAATTGTCAGACTGAAAACATACAGATGAGTGCAAGAGTACATAGAAAAGTGCATTCACGTGTGACCAGAAATCCACGTGAGAAAGCACACAGCAGTCCTGAGAACAAGAACACGTGTATGAGCGATGGGGAGAATAAAAAATGCACATCCAAGCATATAAATTATGAGAATAAGAGGGCAGCGGGGCAGAAGAGCCCATTCAGAGAGCAGAAGGATGGACTGCTCCAGGGTGCCCACAGTAACAGCACCATGGTCCTCTCCTGGTTGTGCCACCTCTGCTTGGGCCTGTACTAGTGATGCCGTCATCCCCTGCACACTGTGCAGGCCTTGGAGATGTCCCTGGTGTTGTTTGAGGCAACACTCATTCGTGGCATATCATGAGTCCTACTGGTAGAGCATAGCAAGGCCATGCCTTCCCAATTCAACCATCCTCCTCTGCCACAGACACCAACAGCTTCAGGTTGTGGTGGAGAGACCTGTGACCTTGAGCCCTTGGTGCATGTCCTGTCAGATTCTGCCAAGATGAGAGGAGACAGGAGTTCCAGGACACCTCAGACTGGGGCAGAGAAGGTACATGTTCAGCCCCGTGAGTCACTGAAAAGATTCAATGTTATGGTTGACAGAGCCTTTCTTTCCAAGGCATGCCAGGCCACATTTGCCATTTGGCCACTTCCATCCCCATTGCTGCCAGCTGAGATGCGCACAGAATGCAAAGGACCTCAGCAGAACAAAAAGGGGGCTGACGAGAGAAGCCAAAAGGCTAAATATGCAGGGAAATTACCCGACTGGCTGGCCCTCACTGCGTCTCTCTGAAGTGTTTCACAAAATCTGATTATCCAAGTGTAGAAAAGAAGCAAATTGAATGGAGAACTCATTCCAGGTCCAGGTCAGGTTTAGCAAAAGTCATGCAGAAAGCTGAGAAGGAAAAGAGCTTTGACTCTCCCATCATCCCACTCCAGCCAGGGCAATGCCAGCTGCTTCCCTGGGCTCTCATTTCCATTACACATAATGATAAACCAGGTGGAGCTGCCTGAGCGTGAGGTAAAAATTAGTTTCTTAAGCTTCAGTGGCAACAGGATGTGGACTACAGCGTAAGGTGATCTAGTTCAATTAACCCTTGTAGCTGAAGTTGGGGGACTCAGATCCTTTTGGCAATGAGAGAGCAATCTGAAGAGGGAGGTTTGGAGTTCTCTGTGGTAAAACACTTCCTTGTGGAAGAACCCCCCAAATAAACAAGCACATAAAACACACATTCTTTTTTCCTTTCAAATGAATCATTTGTGTCCTGTCAGGAATTAAAGTTTGGATACCTAAATAAGATCACACATTGACATTCGGCCAGAAAGATACTCACTGGTTTTTAAAACCTAAAATAAAACAACAACAAAAAGACCCTTTGTTAGTGGAAATGAAACTCAACAGGTTATCAGTGGGACTAGCAAATGGAGTAGACTGCAGTAGGAGAAGGAAAATGACTGAACTAGATTTGTATGCCAGGCTACACACAGATGTATCAGAAATAAACTCTATATAATGCAGTGTTCAATGCCAGGTAATTAGCAATGCAAGCAACCATTTTTAATGTAATTTTCATTCAGAAAACATCCCTTTAACTGACCAACACAATGTAATCTCTGAAGAGGGAAGTTTGTGACCTTTGCTACTATGAAGCCCTCCTTTTAGCAAAGACTTTGCAATCCAGACCCTGTGATGTCCAGTATGAAGATTTGTTCTGTACGCTTTCAGGAAGAAGGATGAGATTTCTGCCTCTGGTAACTGCCCACCACCACTCCTTAAAGAGCAGCCTTTCAGCTCAGCAAAAGCAACACTTACCTGGAATATGACTGACATCTGTCGAGGTGTTTTCATGGCAAGCAGAAGGGAGAAAAGGAAAAGAGAGAGAGAGAAGAGAGAAAAGCCATTAGAGATGCACACAGCAACTCAGCATCCTTGCATGGAAATCAATTTCATGCAAAACCAGAAGTAGGTTTGTTTGAAGGCCATCCATCTGCAGCCAAGCACCCAGTCATGCAAGGGAGGAGGCACTGGCTCCTTCTCCACTGTGCATGTAAAAGTGAATCCACCATCATATCTGTCCGGAGAGAGATTTCCTGGAATCAGATAGACCCAAGCCACGTCAGTTCCTGTAAGAATATTGGTTAAAATATTCTACTGTTTTTCACACACAAATGCAAAAGAAACAAACAAAAAACAACCTGCCTGCAGTAGGTTTCTATTGCACATAAATTCAAGCAAGTTTTCAGAAAAAAGAAAAGAACCTGCTCCCCTTTTACGAGGGGCCATGTGAATTTATGACCAGGTGCAAGACACTCAACATAGTCCCAAAGTCTAGAAGAGAGCCCATTCCTTTTCATTCCTCCTGCCCATCATTCCCAAAACAACATCCTTCATTGCAGACAGCAGCAGGGGTGGGGGAGAAGGAGTGCCAGAGGCTTGCATGTCCCACATGTCTTTTCACAAGATGTTGAATTCAGACCAAATGTCATTCAGCATTTTTCCTCTTTGTGACATAAGACCGCTTTTCAGAATCAATCACATAAATCCCAGAATAAATTAGCCCTTTAAAAAAGAGAGGAGCAAGACTATGTAAGTGATAGTATCGACCACAGAAAAGGCATATCTTTGAAGGTAGTGTCTGTTTTGGGCAGAGCCCACCAATCCCAGCGAATGTACTTTACAAAAATGCCTCTCATAACTTTTTTAGCATCCCAAGTTTAGTCTTGCTTTGAATAGCTACACTTATCATAACACCATGAGAGAGGAACCCGTGAAATCTCATGGGATTAGACTTATATTTTCTTATATTTATTAGACAATATTTTGTCTAGGAGCATGACATGCTGGGTGCTTTGGCTACACACCAAGGTCTAAGAATGTATTCTCCTTCCCAGAATATCCCCTCCAATTTCCATCAGTATTCCCCCTTCCTGTCCAAACCAGCTGTGTTGCTGTGAAACTGGTGCCACTTGTCTTCCCGAGACACTTGCATTTCAGTGGTGAGTGATTCCTGTGCATGTTGCTTTTTGTTTATCACTTTCTGATGCTTTTTGTTTATCACTTTGTAATGGCTCCAGAATCATTTGAGGAAAAGTCCCTGTGGTACATCACACGTATATCAAGCCATCCTTCCCTAAGGAGGTAATAACCCAAATAAAACAATGCACAAAGAAGGGAGGGACTGTTGCATCAACTCATTTATTTCCATAGCTTCTACTAAACATTTGTGTCAGATCTGATGAGTGTTATTTGTTGCCTTTCCTCTTTTAACACATAATTGTATCTAAGAACTGGTGTCTTGGCATGCGAGCCTGGAAGGACACTTAGCACTGAAAGTTTGCCTGAAAATAATTATTTTCAGGTAGGAAAAGAAAACAAGCATCAGGCAGCAATGCATGCACTGAGGATGAAAGGCAAAAGGAGCAGAGAGCAGGGGCAGAAGGAAGGAGCAGACCATTAAACACCACTGCAGAATGTGAGCACAATGCCAAAGAATTTACAAGTCCACAGCTAGGACTTGAATTGAGGTGTTGCTTAGGAAAATCAGTCACAGTCAGAGAAGATGTTCACACATTTCAGAAGAGGAAGAAGGGAGCACCATAAGGTACTGCAAATATTTCTGATAATCCAGCAGCTGCCCCAAAGCCTACTCTAAGCAGGTACAAAGCTCTAGACCCATGCTGTCCTCTCAGCCTCCCTGCATGAGTGGCAAAGGAGCGGGCACAGCTGCAGCCCAGGCTACCTCGGGGGCCTGGGAACAGCAGGCAGCCTCACCAGGGTGTCTGTGCTCCAGGAGGAAATCTATGGGTTGTTTAGGGAATAAAAAGGATCAGCAGATAGAAAGGGCAAAGGAAAGAGCTAACCAAGGGTGAGCAAGGGATAAACACATTAAGCAAATAACAGAAGAGGCAGCGGGCTGTAACTGATATACTGCTTGAAATAATACTTATTTAACTGTGCGTGAATTAAACAGGTCATGAAGCTGTTAAAAAGGGGAACAATGAAGTGTTAAGAGCTACACAAGCATCTCTAAAATGTAGTTTCTCAATGGCAAGTAACAGGGGGCAGACAGCAAGGGGATTTCCTTTTACCCATATTTTTTGTTCTGATGTCCCTAAGAGCAGGCATTCCCTATCCTGACTGGTTTTAGTCTTAGCTTTCTTTTTGCTGTATCTTTTTTGGAAAGTCTCCACCCAACACAACTTCTGTATACATTAGCTGCATCAGAAAAGTCACTGTTTGCATCTCTGAGACACTTTTGCAATATTTACCTATGTGGCAGCCCAGGTCTTTAGTGTTACTTCCCATATTAAATACAAAGGAAGTTTCTTGTATTGCAGACACCCCCCCATGTGGTATCTGCTGGCAAATGCTGATTTTCAAATGGTGAAAGTACTAGGTTTTTTATTTTAAAACACACATGAGAAAGCACTGCTTTCTTTGTGAAGACAAAAATGGCACATAGCCAGCCAGTCCTCACAAGAGACCCTACAACAAATACCACTGTCGCATACAATTGAAGCTGCCATGCAAGTCCTCACGGGAAACCCCGTAACACCTCTGCAGTGTGTGTGCCACTCCACTGTGGTGCACAATTAAAACTGTGGTTGCATATATCGACAAAAGGGACCCTTAATAAGAAACCTCTGATGCAGTACCTTATGGCTGGTGGCTCCACAATTAGAAGAAATCTAATGCCTCAAGAAAGGTAGAAGACAGGGATGGCAAATAGGCAGAGTGACCAGATTTGGGGAGCTCTCCTTCAGACCCTGTCATCTGAGATGTTCTCTCAAATTCTCTTCATGTTTTTCTGGACTGTTTAAAACATGTCCCCACTCTCTTCCTCTTCCATCAGCACTACCTTCCACCTCCCATAGGGACCTCCTACCTGCCACAGGGACTGAGGGGAGGTACAACATTCCCCGATTAAACAGGGAGTGTGCAGAACCCATGGCTAACAAAAGGCCCAGTGACCATGGGACTTACTGACATGCAGATGGAGGTTTCTCCACTTTCTCCAGCTCAGAGCACTTCAAACAGAGAAAGATCTGCCTCTTAACAAAAGACGAGGCAGAGTTTGCTTTATCCTATACACAAGAGTCCATTTATTGCTCCTTTGTAAAGGGCTGAGCCGCAAGCCGGTGCTGTTTGCTTTTGTTCTTTGATGCTAATAGATGGGTTGAAAGAGGGATCAGCAGGGCTGCTGCCTTTGTCTGGTGCAGCCCCAGCCATCTGGGTGGGGTGGAAGGGGAAGGAGGAGGATGAAGGGGAGCGGGAGGAACAAAGCAAACATTATTATAGCTCAGATCATTCCCGTGCCTGTAGAGGAAACATCTGAGGTATTTTTAACTCTAACATTTTTAACAAGAAGTTTAGCAATAAAGGAAGGTGTCATGAGAGTGCACTTCTCTCTCCAACTGGAAGACAAGGACAGCACACTTTCCATATGCATCGGCCCTACCAGCACACATCACCTTGACCTGAAGAGACCTGCTGTCGTTCCCATCTCCATGGTCCATTCAATCTTGCCCCCCACTTTGACGGGCTGTGGACACCTGTATTCTGCAAGCTAAACTGAGAGCCACTGACCGAATTCACACATCACAAACCAGCTGTCAGGCGGGGGAGCATCCTAGGCTAAGTGGAAATAAGCACCTAGAAGTGAATGGCACTGTCTCATACTATGAGTCCCTTAAGCTCTCCAGCATCCCCCTCCAGGGCTCTCTGGTTACCCTCTCTCTGAACGCCAGTGTGTGGAGAGGACTGGGGAGCAGGCAGAAACTGGGGAAAGGAGGAGGGCAAAAGTTGTAACACTTAGAGGCATCTTTTCGTCATGGAGACCCACTCCCAAATAAGAGGAGATCCTGCCTTTAGACAGGAAAATGACCTTATTCTGAAGCTCATTCAGTTACCGACACCTAAAAAAGCTTTTCTAAAGCAGATTTGGCTCTTATCATGCTGCAAATACAGAAAATGGATATAGGTACAATTTCACTGGCAGAAGCACGACTGGTTGGGAACTCTCAGTCACTTACTTTGACTTACTGATATATATGAAAACAGTTCGGAGACCATAGATTGATGCATTTATGGCAGCCTGTGAAATGATTCAAAAGATACAGGATGAGCCAGCCTGGCCTCCTGTGGTGTGGTAGTAAGAGATGGTGGTGACTCAGAACCAGGTGATTTCCTCTTAACTGAGCTCTGATGCAACATTTTAACAATACGATGAAGAGCTACATTTTGGCTGAGCTGGAAACCCCTCAAACTGCAATGAGCAAGGTCTTCATTAATTTGATACTTCATCAAACAAAGTGTTAATTCCAGGTGCTGATTTGGCAAGTGGTCTCACTCCATCCTAACCTGGTCCGTTAAGGTAAAGGCAATGGTCCTACTTCACCTCCTACTCTAAGCTGTTGGGGACCAGTGCTGTTGGTGCAAAACTGTACAGACTCCTTGTCTTTCTCTTCAGGACACAGTGGTTCAAAGCCACCTGGGAGGGTTACAGCGACATAAAAAGAAATAGCATTTACATTGTATAAACAGCTTCTAACAACAATTTGCTTGGGTAACGGTGGGCTCTGTAATGAGATCAATTCCAAACATTAGCAGATCCCTGTACTGCCCATGCTCACACAGGAGGTAGGCACCTTGAAGATTGTTTTATTTATGGTTAACTAGGTTAAAATCTTCGCTCCATTAAATTCATAAAAGACTTGACAGTTACTTTGATAGTGTCATGATTTCATCACTCATATTTACTTAACATCTTCTGTCTTACTCTGATAGTAGGCTCCATCCCTGGTATCTTTCCACTGATTTCAACGGAACTG